TTTTTTGGTTGGTAGGCTATTAATTACTGCCTCAATTTCAGAGCCTGTTATTGGTGTATTCAGGGATTCAACTTCTTCCTGGTTTAGTCTTGGGAGGGTGTATGTGTCCAGGAATTTATTCATATCTTCTAGATTTTCTAGTTTATTTGCGTAAAGATGTTTATAGTATTCTCTGATGGTGGTTTGTATTTCTGTGGGATCGGTGGTGATATCCCCTTTATGATTTTTTATTGCATCTATTTGATTCTTCTCTCTTTTCTTCTTTATTAGTCTTGCTAGTGGTCTGTCAATTTTGTTGATCCTTTCAAAAAACCAGCTTCTGGATTCATTGATTTTTTTGAAGGGTTTTTTGTGTCTCTATCTCCTTCAGTTCTGCTCTTATCTTGTTATTTCTTGCCTTCTGCTAGCTTTTGAATGTGTTTGCTCTTGCTTCTCTAATTCTTTTAATTGTGATGTTAGGGTGTCAATTTTAGAACTTTCCTGCTTTCTCTTGTGGGCATTTAGTACTATAAATTTCCCTCTACACACTGCTTTAAATGTGTCCTGGGATCACTCTTAATACAAATTGTATATCAGTCTGAGTTCAGTCCCGAGAGAGAAATACAGTAATTTGAACGGGGAAAATTTACTGTAAATATTAACTACAACAGAAGTTTCGAATACCAAAGGATTGGCTAGTAGGAAATAAAGCAAACTCTAAAGAATATAGGATTAGCAGATTTAAGGAACAGCTTTAGGGCCGAGATAGAGCACTCTACTTCCCTCCCCTCTAAGGCTGAAAGCCAGACCTTATTGGGAAGGACACAGCCATGGCTTACGGAGGAGTATTTATGGTACTGCGCTGGCAGAACTTGCTGGAAATTTGCCTTCTGGAACTTGACAAGAATCTGCCCTCTGGGGCACCAGAGAAGCTTCACAGTGATGTGACCAAGCCCCTAGGTACTCTGCTGCAGAACCACCCAAGATGAGTACCAGGAGAAGCTACTGGCCACCTTGTCCTGCAATTACCAGTTACTGGATAAGCGGCATGTGCTTCAGGAGCCAGGCACTGGAGAAGCCACCCACACTGGAGGAGCCTGATGCTGGAGAAGCCATCTGTGCACAGGGAAGCCTGGCACACTGCAGGGGCAAGCCCAAGGGAACCATGAAGCAAAGTCCTTTCCGTGTGCAGTGTCTCTCCAGCACCCTCTACTGACAAAACTTAAAATCATGTCGGCTAACAAAAGGGAAAATATTTTAAATGCCCAAGTCTGTTTTCAAAGAGTAGAAATGAAAGGTGTATTTGGAGCTGAGAAGCAATAATTCAATTACTGGAGCAGCGTGTCTTATTTTCTGCAATGTTTCTCTGCATATCCAGAGTCAAATTTGGTGTTCAATAATATTAACTGTGTTTATTAACTCTTGGTGAACCCTTTTGCTTTTTCCTTTTTTAGTCCTGATTTTGCTTTAGGCTTGGCCCAAAGCAAGTTGTAATCCTCTATTATAAGTTATCTCAATTTCTTTTCGGGAATATCTATGGTAGAACCTTAGGCATGTATAAAATATTAAGTTTGCCTTCCAAAAGAATAGAGTGTTAGCTAAGCTGTCAGGCAGAATTCTTCTTCTATATGGGAAACCTGGCTTGTTCATTTTTTTTTTCATTATGGTAAAATAAACATAACATAAAATTTACTATTGCTACAGTTAAGTGTACAGTTCAGTGTAATTAAGTGTATTCACATTGCTGTAAACAGTAACTCCACATTTTCCCATCTCTCCAGCCCCTGGCAGCCACCATTCTGTTTTCTGTCTCAATGAATTTGACTACTTTAGGTATCTCATATAGGAATCATACAGTATTTATCCTTCTGTGACTGGCTTATTTCACTTAGCATAATGTCTTCAGGGTTCATCCATGTTGTGACATGTGTTAGAATTTCCTTCCTTTTCAAGGCTGAGTAATATTCTTCTGTATGTGTACATCATATTTTGCATATCTGTTCATCCATCAATGAACAGTTGATTTATTTCCACCTTTTGGCTCTTGTGAATAATGCTGTAGTGAATGTGGGTGTACAGATACTTGTTTTAGTCCCTGCTTTCAGTTCTTTTTAGGTATGTACCCAGAACTAGAATTGCTGGATTATGTGATAATTCTGTTTTTAATTTTGAGGAATTGTTGGGCTGTTTTCTGTAGCAGCTACAATATTCTGCACTCCAACCAGGATGGGAGGCCCAGTTTTGATAGTTGTCAAATTTCCTTCAAGTTTTTCATCCCTACAAAGAAGCCAAGGTCTTTCATAGCTCCATAATCTTATGATGCTGTAATTAGGATATAATGCTAACATGTAATAATTAAACTGTAATACCAATTCTTTGAATACAGTAGCAGTTCAGAAGGATACTAGTGCAGTCTAGGACCACTGACAGGCTTCCTGGAAGAGATAGGACTTATGCAGTCCCTGAGGGAGTGATAGGACTTAAAGGATAGACAGAAAGCACCAGGCAGGCGAAGCAGCATGTGCACCAAGAGCAAGTAATTGTACAGGTTGCAGACAAAAAGACGAAAGTCTCAACTGCTGTTCTAGTCTAATTGGAGCCAGAAAGGATGAGAATGACGCATACCAGATGATCACATGATCTGATGTTCTTTCCATCCTTGTTAGAACAGTAATTTGACATAGGTATTTGAACCTGTAAATGAAATTCACAACCCAGATAACCTAGTAATACTTGTGAGCTGGTAATGTGGGTGTGCCAAATCCATGCCAGTAGTAGATACAGCCATTCGGGAGCGCATTATTTGCTTCCATACTTGGAGCATCTAGTAGCCTCAGCCACATTTTATCTTTCATGAAGTGAACCTTTCTAAAATGTTTATTACTTTCTTTCATGTTATTGATCTCACATAGGAACCAATAGTTGGAAAAAGTAACCACTCCTTCAAAATATGAATATGGAAAAGTAGATGATTATTGAGACACGGTAGATTTTTATTTATTTATTTTGAGACACAGTCTTGCTCTATCATCAAGGCTGGAGTGCGTGGTGATCTCAGCTCACTGCAACCTCCGCCTCCCAGGATCAAGCAGTTCTCCTGCCTGTCTCCCGAGTAGCTGGGATTATAGCACACACTACCGCACCCGGGTTTTTTTTTTTTTTTTTTTTTTTGAGATGGAGTTTCGCTCTTGTTGTTCAGGCTGGAGTGCAATGGCATGATCTCGGCTCACTGCAACCTCTACATCCTGGGTTCAAGCAGTTCTCCTGCCTCAGCCTCACAAGTAGCTGGGATTACAGGCATGCACCACTACGCCCTGCTAATTTTGTATTTTTTTAACTAGAGACAGGATTTCACCACGTTGGTCAGGCTGGTCTTGAACTCCTGACCTCAAGTGACCCACCCGCCTTGGCCTCCCAAAGTGCTGAGATTATAGGCATGAGCCATCGCTCCCAGCCGAGACAAGATATATTTTTATTTCACGTGTAGAAAGTTGGGCTCTGCGTGTATATTTAATGTTTTGGTTTGTTGGTGATGGTGGTAGTTTCTTCTGAAGAGGCAAAAGGAGCAAAGGATTAAAGCAAAAGAAACTAACAAGAAGAGAATAATGGTGATATAATTTTGAAGATACCCTAAAAAATAGTTTTCTGTTACTGTTTTAAAGTATTTCCTAACAAAGAACTGTACCTTTTGTTTTTCAGACTGCTCTGGCACATTTAGAGTCTCTTGCAGTGGATGTTGAGGTGGCCAATCCACCAGCCAGTAAGGAAAGCATCGATGGTCTTCCAGAGACCCTTGTTCTTGAAGATCACACTGGTAAGGGCAGAGTTGATCTCAAATGTTGAGGAACACATTGCACATTTAAGTATATTATCAGTGTACCTAGATGATTAAATATTTGTTTATTAGAACCAGATGCTTACAAATTGACCTAGTATAAGAATATTTTTAATTTTCAAGTGATAGACTGCAACAAATGTTCCTTTGTCAGCTTTTTTACAAAAGCAGTATTTATTAGATTCCAAATTGCCAAGTATTTGACAGAAATGCTTGCCAATTAACTGATCAAAGATTGGCTCTTTCGTCTTTCAGAGGTATCTTCTCTGAGTATAATATATTGCTTTTCAGTTTTATTAAAATTGAACTATATGTGATTGATCTAAATTATTTGTTGTTTTCAGCTATTGGTCAGGAACAATGCTGTCCAATCTGTTGCAGTGAGTATATTAAGGATGATATAGCAACAGAGTTGCCCTGTCACCATTTCTTTCACAAACCTTGTGTCTCAATTTGGCTACAAAAGGTGAGTGATAGAATAATTAATTTAAAATTTTAAAATTTAATACTTTAATAGTGTCTTCTGCAAGTGAATAATAACAGTATCTCTTTTTTTTTTTTTTTTTTTTGAGACGGAGGCTGGCTCTGTTGCCCCGGCTGGGGGGCAGTGGACGGATCTCAGCTCACTGCAAGCTCCACCTCCCGGGTTCAAGCGATTCTCCTGCCTCAGCCTCCCAAGTAGCTGGGATTACAGGCACCCACCACCACGCCCGGCTAATTTTTTGTATTTTTAGTAGAGACGGGGTTTCGCCATGTTGGTCAGGCTGGTCTGGAACTCCTGACCTCAGGTGATTTGCCTGCCTCAGTTTCCCAAAGTGCTGGGATTACAGGTTGTGAGCCACCATGCCCAGCCAATGGTAGTATCTTTTAAACCTGTTTTATTTAGCTACAAATTTGTAGTACTTTTTAATTCATTGTTAAAAACTGGTTGCCTTTAATGATTACAAATCAGGGATAATATGGAAGTATTTTATTTTATTAACATTGTCTAAAAACAACATAGCCAACAATAACATGCTTTTAATCATTTTAGGAAGTGATTAAATATCTGAAAAATTATTTTAGAATAAAGCTGATTAGAATTTTAATCATAACCTTGAAATTTGGTGTTTTCAAAAGTATCTCAAGCAGAGAAGCCTTTGGCACTACTCAAAGTACTATAACAATATACAGCTATTCTGCTAATACGGGTTGGTGTTTCTGAAATGTATATGAAAGATATTTAATAACCTACCAAATAGCTCCTATTCCAGTTTTTATATATTGCCTTCAAATACTTGCCCAATAAATCTTAAGCATATTTGAATTATTTAAATAAAGTGAGTGTTTTACTTCAGTCTTCTCTGTGAAGTCTATTTTTTTGCATAAAGGATATTTACCATCCAGCTCACTAGGAATTCCCAAGTCACTTTCCCAGATTATCTACTTAGGAATACAACTATCTTTTTCCCCTATAACCAGTGCTTTTTTTCTCCTTCCCTTTTCCCTTTGCTTTCCTTCCTTCCCTCTTTTTCCTTTTCCTTTCTTGCTGTTCCTCTATTTCTATTTGCCACTTCATTGTTCTCAAAACTCCACTTAAAATCTCTGAAATCCAGTTTAGAAATGTTCACTGTTATTTTATAAAATATCTGTATATGAGATAACTCATAGTGCCTGGCAGGTAGTAAGTGCCCAGTAAATATTTTACAAATCAGATGAAAGCTGTTATTAGAAATTAGAGATTTTTTATTTTATTAACAACAAAATCACAAATACAAACTTAGGATGCAAGTTACAAAGACGAGCTAGCAGTCTTTAGTAAACAGCATGTGCTAACATGTACTATTTGAAGAGTAATTGCCTGTGTAGAGATCATGTGTGTCTCAAGTCTCATGAGACTTCCTGGCGTTCTGGATTGAGGTATAATGCTGGATTCCGAATTAGTTTTAAAATACTGTTTTCCTTGCTCTCTCCCCTCTCCCAGAACATAATTTGGGAAATAATATTTTAGGTGATTTTTCTTGACCTATTTATCTGGCATTTTATTAATACAGCCTAGATGGCTGTATTGTACAATATACCAACCTGTAGGGTTTTTATAAGAGTTAAAGTAGGTAATTCGTGATGATTTTAATATGGTATTTGGCACATAGTAAACATATAGTGTAGGAAAAGTAATGGTAAACTTATTACTAATGAAAATTAGAATTCAGTAGAAAATGACTTTTTCAGTGTCTGTACATGATGGTGGTAGTAGTGAAAGTAGGTGTTATTAAAATTAGTGGGGAAGCAGAAAATGCAGAGCCACCAACTCTTAACAATATTGAGCGTGGCTGAGTCTGTGAGGTCCATTCCCTCATTTCTTTCCACTCCCATACATTAGACCTTCAACCTTTGTTGTCTTAACTACTATTGTAGTTACCTACTTTATTTCCTTACTTCCTTTAGAGGTACTTTCTTTTCATTTCTTTTTTATTTGCATAAATGTGCAGCTTTGTCACATGCATAGGTTACGTAGTGGTCCAGTCAGGGCATTTAGGATATCCTATCACCTGGATAACATACATTATACCCATTAACTAATTTCTCATTATCTTCCCCCCTTCCTACCCTCTACTCTTCCAAATCTTCATTATCTATCATTCCATCATTAAAGGCTTCTTATGAAATATAGTTCTGATCATGTACTTCCCTTCTCATAAAAGAAAGAGAGAGACCTCCAGTCACCTGTGGAATAATCTGAAGCTTTAATCTTGACATTCAAGACCTTCTGTGATTTAGACCTCAACCTGTTTCTTCAGATTTACTTTTCTGTACATTTGCTTATGTTTCTATACATTTGCTCCTGAAGTCTGGCATGATTTTTCCCTATACCATCTGTAAGATTAGATGATATAGGTGGGTGCAGTTTAAATTCCACCTTTTCTGTCCTTAATAAATTCTGTCTTTAAACTCCCACGATAGTTTCAGAGACTTAAGAAGCAGTGTTTTGTGTGCCTGCTGTGTGTCAGTCACTGTCAGATGATTCCTCTTTAATGATTCATGATCTCTCCTTTAATCCTCACAGAACATTAGGACTTACTGGTATCTTTATTCTTGTTTTCTAATGATTGTTACTTGTCTAAGTTTAAATAGCTAGTACATAGTTCACCAAGACCACGCTCATCTATTTGACTCTAAAATGTTACTGTTGGGCCCAATCTATATGGCAAGTACACAATAAATGTTTGCTGAATTGAATTTTTTTTTTTTTTTTTGAGACGGAGTCTCGCTCTGTCACCCAGGCTGGAGTGCAATGGCACGATCTCGGTTCACTGCAACCTCCGCCTCCCGGGTTCAAGCAATTCTCCTTTCTCAGCCTCCTGTGTAACTGGGGCTACCAGGCGCACGCTGCCACACTCAGCTAATTTTTTGTATTTTAGTAGAGACGGGGTTTCACCATGTTGCCCAGTCTGTTTGCGAACTCCTGAGCTCAGGCAGTCCGCCCACCTCGGCCTCCCAAAGTGCTGGGATTACAGGCATGAGCCACCACGCCCGGCCTAAAATGAATTCTTAAACGGTAAACATAATATATGTTATACAGCCTTGAATTATACTTGAGACTTTGCTGTAACTCAAGGTAACAGTCTCTTCAGTCTTTCTCCTGTCAGGAAATATCTTAGTGTGAAGCCTTTCCTGCTTTTTTTCTGGGGAGAATGTTCCCAAGATACAGTTCTTTGTCGCCTTCAACAGCATGATCTCTTCAGCCTCCCTTCCAGCAGGGAGTTCTCTTTGGGAAAAAGACCAGATTTGCAAGGGGATAATCTTTTATCAGATAATGTAGCTCTATAATCATCCATTGGTCCTAGAATGTTGTACTCCTAGTATAACTGCTTTCCCCTCCCCACCTTCCCTCCAAGGTCTGTGGCTGATTGTTTTGTCATTTAGAAGGCACCTAACACTCTTACCTCTTTTTGGAAAGAAATGTCATGGCTTAGAAAGAAAGTCTGAAGTCCATCTGCTTTGACATATCTGTGCTACCCTAAAATGGGGCTTTAATTTGCCATAGATCTACATTAATTTACCGTAGACCTTCTTTAATTCACACCAAATCATAAATGATAAATAAATCATAAATGATTTGATGTGAATTAAAGTAGGTCTGTGGTTTCTCTAATAAATGCATAATAGACTAAATAATGATAATTCCGTTCAGATTATTGTTGAAGCTAAATTCTGACCTCCATGCGGACATGTGCCATGATTCTTTGCTCACCCTCTGCCATTGCATCACCGCTGAGTTTAGCAGCTCTTAATTAAAACTCACTAAATGAAGGAGGATTAATGACCTTAAAGATATGAACATTAGTAAGAGACATTGTTTACCCTCAAAGAAATTAGAGTCTGATTGGGCACAGAGGGAATAGTATGAAAATAATGTCTTTCTGCATTGTGTGGATTTGAAGTTTATTTTTTGTTGTTAAGATATTTATTATTGGGATAATGATACTGTTTTTTCTTTATTAAGTTATTTATGTAGCAGTTAAGATGATTCTGGTGGCTCTTAACGTTTTTTTTTTTCTCCAGTCGGGAACATGCCCAGTGTGCCGCCGTCATTTCCCACCTGCAGTTATTGAAGCATCTGCAGCTCCTTCCTCTGAGCCTGATCCTGATGCCCCACCTTCAAATGACAGTACTGCAGAAGCGCCCTAAACCTTAACAGTTGAAATGAGATCAGTGTATCGAAGTAAATCTGCAAATTCCTTCTAAATCTCATGTGCAAATAATTATATATAAATATATTTAAAAAAGCTATATATAGTATATGCCATAGTTTAGAAAGAATATTAACCTTTCTAAACTAAATTTAGGTTTGCAGAAAGTATTAAACATTTTCAAGCTGAATGTTGAGACAGTGCATCCATTTTCTTTAGTTGAATATGTTTGTATTAATTGTAAAGCCAAGCTTATCTGTTGACTTCCTCCAGAAGAAATAATCATCTGTGTGGCATACGTTACTGGCTTTGTCTATAATACTGCCACTAAGTGATTATAATTAAGCGCTCCTGTTTGCGTCAAATGTTAAGACTGTGTTCACAACAGTAGTAAAATTTGGTTTCATTTGGAAATGAAACAAATTGTAAAGTATGCTTTTTCACTAGTCCCTTTGGTTTTGCTACGCCATAACCTCTTGGTTCATATGCTGAGAAATTTTTCAGAAAGTCCATTTTTGTTTAAAATTGGGACTTTTCAGAATGCCAAATGAAGTCTAAAATTCTGGCCAGAACATTACAAAAGTTTTAAATCTTAGAAGTAACTCCCCTATGAAACCAGTGGATGTGCTTAACATAAGGTTAGTAAAGCATACAAAGAATCTAGTGTGCTCAGGGCTTGGTACAATGAGCTGAATTAGATGGCCTTATGAAACCCTCTCTAACCTCATCCAACCTGTTTCTCCTTGGTAAAAATTATACTTGAAGGCCCAGAACACTCATGGCACATTTGTTTAATATTGGATATAGTTAGTTTAAGGTAATTTTGCTTCTACAGTATTTTGGGAGGTCTGAAAACTTGCACAGGGTCATCTTTGTAATTATATAACCCCAAACTAAGATGCACAGTGTCTCCTTTAGGTAATCACACACAGTAGAAGAGTATGTGCAAACATGGACATAATAGTTCACTTACAAATGTGATTTGATGTTAACACTAGAGAATGATGACTGTTAGAATATCACATTTGAGCAAGTAAAACAGTAAAGCACATAGTGAGTGTACGTCCATCTAATTGGTCCATTGATAATTTAGTTTGGGCACATGAAAGGAATATTTATATGGCTTCCCAAATGCAGAGTTACATCTTATTTGTGTAATTCCTCTGAGTATTTATATCCCGTCTCTTTTTTTCATTTTTAAAAATAAATGAATTTTCACTGTTGGCACATTTGAGGCTTAAATATAAGGAACATAACACTTGCATTCTAATTTTTGCATATATTGTAAATGTGTCTGGTATTTACAGCAAAATACTGTGTATCCTTTTATGGGTAAAACAAAAGTGAACATTGCATGCATGTAATGTGATGAATTTGTAATTTAGGAGTTCTTTGGGGCTTCTGTGACTTTGGAAATGCTTACATTCAGGCCTTAATGTTGCATTAGCTAGCATGTTTTCCCTCTGATGTATATAGTCATTGTTGTATAAACTAATCTTTGCTTGTTTTCTACTCTGTGATCTTTCCATACCATATTTCATTAATGATCAGTTAGTGTCAAGGAGTCAAATCAGATTAAAATTAATTTCATATGTATATTGTGGAAATTTGTGGCTAGTGTGATTTTTGTTTGTTTGTTTCCTTTTAAGTACTGTTGATCAGTTGTGACACTTACTGGTTAAACTTACGTTGCTAAAGATTTCTCTATAATAAGCCACACATTATATTTAGACTATATTAAGGGACCTTGGTTTTCTTCTAGATAGCAGCTGTCCCAAAGAAAATATTTCTTCTTTGCCTGTTAAGATTTAGCTGTTATCTGCCAGTTGTTACGAGGTTTTGGTTCCAAACTCAACCAGCAATGTTGAGAGCAGAACTTAAGATAGCTGTTGTACTTTTTGCTTTCCATCTGTTACTGTCCTTCATTCTTGGCTCCCTACTATCTATAAACAGCTGCTGTGAAGGAGAAAAGTTGAGTAAGAGTTGGCTTAAATTTTAAAAAGGAAAAAGAAAATTGAGGTTTTAGGATTTTCATGGTAACAAGCTCTGGTATAGCTAAGGCTGGCAAGTTCAGATACTAAAATATTATTTGGTCATATCTTGGATCCTTTTGAAAAAGTTAAGACTATATGAAGGTAAATTAGAAATAAGTATGAATATTAATAAAATAGCATTTATCTTATTTCTCTATTTTATGTTGTGACTTAACCTAATTTTATTTTTTTAACATTTTCTTATTTCTTGTAATATGAATGCTGATATTTAAAGGTAGATCTATGTGGTTTTCTTTTGTGTTTCTTAATTGTTTATCTCTAACTCTTAAGATTATTTGTGATCTGGATTTATGTATTTGTTAGATACATATGAATTGTTAAAATGGAATGCAAGTTTTTCAAAAGCCCAGGTCTAAATGTAATGGTTGGTTTATTGTTCTACAACCCCAGCCCATCATTTTCTGTGTAAATCATAAACAATAAACAGAATATACTCGGTGGTCATTTCTAATATTTAATTGTGTAATTGTATCACTTCTATAATGTAACCCTGAAGGATTTAGAGTTAATGACAACACTATGAGCATGTGATGTTAAAAGTCCTTGAACTATAATATAAGAAAGCCCTAGGAAGAGCCAGACAGAGGTAGTTGATGGACTTCCTACTGCTGGAGGGTCTCTGAGTCCTTGCCCTCTCCTGCCTGACATCCTTAGCTATCCTGTAGGTTTCAGCAGAACCTGATTTCCACACTGACTCCGGACTGCAGAAACCGTTAATAAGAAGGGAGCCCACCTCAAGTCAGTGGTTTTCTGCAAATCAGGCATGGAAATATTATTAAATCTACCTGTTTAGCAAGATTCCTCGTGGTTCTCAAACAGTTCAGAGAACTCATTTCAGAAGGGTCAATTGGGTGCTGATAAATTACGCCATTCAATTAGACAAAGACTAGCCAGGCTTGGTGGTGTGCACCTATAATCCCAGCTATTCAGGAGGCTTGAGGCAGGAGGATTGCTTGAGCCTAGGAGCTTAAGAGCAGCCTGGGCAACATAGTGAGACCCTGTCTCAAAAAAATTTACAAAGTTAGACAAAAACTAACCATTTTGTTTAAATGCTTAGAAAGTTTAGAATTCCAATTCTTCTCTAACAGGTTAAATATGTACTAGAAAAATAGTCTCCGAGCTAGAAACAGTGGTATACCTCTACTGTCGATGTTTTTTTATCATTTCATCATTTTCATTCAGCCACTGCTGGATGGAGCCATTCGTCACCCATGCAAAGGATGAATTTCATTGTTGGAAGATTGTCACCAAATTTCTCTATAAACAGCACATGTGAAATTAGATAGAAAGTCCTGTTTCTTCTGTGTGGTCATCTCTTCATATGCTTCAGGCTTCACACGTTCTGAAATCTTACATGGTATCTATTCCAGACCAGCCTAGGGTTGGCTCTTTCACTCCTCTTAAAGTATGTTGCTCAGAATTAAACACAATTTTGTGATTGAACTAGGGCAGGGTTCAGGAGCACTGTTGCCAACTTCAGAGTGATTCTCCTATGGCTGTTATGGTTGGTGTATGTTGTTACTACCACCATCATTATTAGCCAGGCTGTCATACTGTTTGCTGTCTGTTGCTGAGCTTCACAGGTATTGCTGGTAAGCCAAGTCCACGCCTAGTCTTTATACAGTCTCTTATTAACCTAATTGAAGGACAGCATTCATCCTTACTGAATTTAGTTTATGAAGGTTCTTGTGAATTCAGGTTTTTCCACTTAGCCTTGCATCAGTTCCAATTTTGATAAAGCATACCTTTGGTATTTAGTGGCTTTGTCTAAGTTGTTGATACATGTTGAATTGAATGTGATGCAATACAGGGACTCTTCAGAATGCCACTATACACTGCACTTCAGATGAGTGATCCATTAATTAGTACTTTGGTTACAGTTGTTGCAGTAACTACCAGTCACTTTATATGCCCGTTTCTTCATCTTTCCTAAAAAGGACACTAAAAATTTTGTCATGTTTGGCAGACAGATGCATTATGCACTGTCTTTGGAAGTAGCCTAATGTGCTAGTATATTAAAGAAAGGAAATGAAGTCAGCTGGAAATGCCTCATTTTAGTGAAACCATACTACCTCTTTTTCTAACTCCTTACATGCCATCTGTTTAATAATCTGCCTTAGAATTTGTTAAGTGATCAATGTCAAGCTCATTTTAATAATCTTTGGAGTCCACCTTTTCCTGTCTCAAAATTGTGTTTGAAATAACATGACCTTGACAAAGTCACGTAATCACCCTACTTCTGTTTTCTCTATAATGAATCTAAATTATAGGTTCAGTACTACCACTATTTGTGCATGAATAAGGGTTTGAAAAAACATGTTTTTCATTGATGTGCAAAGTCATAGGGAAATATACTTTGTTTCCATCATTGTTTATAGCACCACTTTTTGGAGATTGATGAACATTTCAGCTAAAACACTCTTAAAAACATTAATTACCTTTCAAAAGTTGAGAATTTGACAGGGGAACTTTATTAAGTCAAAATAAAATGTAATTTTCATAATAGTAATTTTGCTAAAACGCAACAAACCTAACACACTAATAAAGATAGTTGGCAACTTATTGCGTCTTACAGTATTAGTATATAATCAATATACAGTTTTTATAGTGAACATTGACAGGGAAGTCTTTATCTTATCTTTTTAGAAAGATACTACTTACTGTCAGTAAGAAAAATTCTGCCAGTCACTGTGATTTCCTTAGATTACAACAATGTTTCTTCTTACGAAGATTCATTTTTTAAATGCATTTTTACATTATAATAGTTCCTATTTATAAAGCACTAAATATTAGGCATAGTGTTAGGCTCTCTATCTTAGCTCATCTTCATAATAAGTCTGCAGGGTTTATTTATCATCTCAACTTTACAAATTAAAAAAAAAAAATTGAGCTCCAGACATGGTCAAAGAGCCCTGGTTCTTAAACGAGATGCTGTGGGTTTTGTCCACTTCGTGCTGCCTTCCTGAGTAGGAACAGCTTACCTGATCAGTGTTATCAGTGTTATTATTTAAGTACATTGAGATGCAGTCTGTTTTGTTGTTTTGTTTTATCAGAAAAAAATTAGGATCTGTTCAGAATTTTGAGAAATATTTTTTCCTTGCTATATTATTTTGCTAACATGTTAAGATATTTGTGTACTGATGACCAAGATTCTAATGTGGCCCTGATTAGTGAAGTTTCTTAATCACCGGTAAGATCTAATGAGAACTTCCTCCCTTTGCTTGGTAATCTGGTTTTCTTAAACT